TCTTTAAATATAATAATAAAAGATGATTATATAAAACCTCATATTTTTATTACAAAACAATAAACAAACATGATAAAATCTATAAATAGCAAATTTTTACAAATCTGTACAAAAATATACTATAAAAAATCAAAGTTTCAGAGAATATTTCAGATAAAAATCCCATATAATATTGTCATGGGCAATGTAAAAAAACTGTACAAAAAATCCAGAAATGTTCAAAAATATATGACCCCTCATCAATACACAGAAATGACAAATTTTATACAATAATACAGTCTCTAAACTTCAAGAAATATTCCAGATAAAAATCCTTTATAATATTTCCATCATAGGGAGAAACGTGTAAATATTAACAAAATTTAGCTTAATTTCTGATGTAGTAATTGAAAGGTTCCATATCAAAATAGTTACACTAAATACTTCTTGAACAACTCAACAAAATCATCCATCTCTGGAAATTTTTCTTTACGTGGTGGGCCCCTTTTTAAACCTGACCAAATCTGCACTTCTTCATCCCCATTTTGCAAAGTGAATTCAAAAGAACCTCTTCTTGGTTTGGAATCCAAATGTTCATTTAATGAAAACTCAAACTGCTTTTCGGGGAAGTTCTCCTCTAAGGCTTTGCAGTAAGCATTTGCCTTAGAGCGGAACACTCGTCAGGAAACACAGTGTTCAATGATTATTTTGATAATATTCTTGGTAACTGATTTTGAGGTCGCAGGGGTAGTTGAGGAAGGTTTTGGATCTTGAATTTCTGGTTTCACTGGATGGATTTCCTGGAAGAAATAAGTGTTTATAAATAACTGTAGTTATAATGCACTAAATGAAAATCTTAATGATAGATTACAAAGATATAACAGACTATCATATTGTGATGAGAAAGATGTATTTGGGGGCAATGCTGCTATGTAGTATAATTTCATCATCGCTTCATTCAAAGAGGTCACCTTAGCATTCTAACTCAACCTATAAATACATTTGTATTTACCTGTGGAGGTTATTAACTAAGAAATGAAATCAAGATTATTTTCATACTTAAAGCTATTTAATAACTTAAAATAATTACAAGTATGTATTTATGGACATCACTGTATTCGCATACAGTCATTTCATAATTTTTACTTAATGCTATTGTGGGTGTATGAGGAAAATAGCTACAAAACAATATATTATCTGACTTTAGCATTAAAGTATTCCAGGGCTAGCGCCCATAGGATATGTATGGCACCTAAGCAGAGAACTAAAAGAATCTTGCTGTCTGGATCTCAAGAAAACTATCCATTTCGAGCCCTAATTATTATATAGATTAAGGGCAGGGCTGGTGTTCTCTCAGGTTAATAGTATTTCAGTATGTCAAAATATACATGCTTATAATTCACTAATAGTCCACTCATTATAGTAAGTCCACCTCGGAATTGGAGATACCCAGCTGTAAGTCTGTAAATTCTTTTATATTGACACCTAAAAGTTGTCTCAAAACCTACATATGTTGCATACACCCTACTATATGTAGGTTTTGCGACAACTTTTTGGTGTCAATATACAAGTATTTACAAACTTACAGCTGGGTATCTTGAATTCCAAGATACTTACTTAATTTAAGCTTAACTGACTGGACTATAATTCCATGTTCATAATTTATCATCATTATAGTTAAAAATTTCTAGTATAAATGTTTTATGAATATTTCAATAACAAACTAGGAGTAAGTGGCATTTTGTCTTAAGGCAAATTGCATAAACTTCATAATATGTAAAACAATCAGAAACATAAAAAAATATAATAATTTATGAGTAATTTATAAGTATGCTGAGTTGCTGTAAATTTTTTTTAAACCTTTAAAATTAAAAATAAGACATTGGATCTGTTTGTCACCTGCCTGTCCCATTTTACCCTGCCTATGGGGTAAAAAACATAGGAGATTTGAAAAATAGAAAAAAAAAACAATTCTACTATGATAAATTAACTGAGAGTTTACTGAAGATAGTCAGATAGTTGTTTGTTTTGTATGTGTTATTTGTTGTGATGTAATTGGTTTGGTTTTTACAATATAATTTCTCAAAATCAAATTGGATCTTTGTGCCCTTTGGTGGAAAAGTTTTAAATTTAAATGTGTTTAAAGATATACATATTGTAGTTTTTACAAATTAAGTTTATGATCTTGTTCTCACAATATAATCATATTTTTTACTCATGATTAACTTAAATAACAATTAATTAGAAGAATGATTAGGTCCATTTAATTTTTGCAGCCCTTTAATATTTGAATATGTTATTTAAGACTAGGAATTCTCTTGCCATTCAATGGTTGCATTAAAATACTCCAAAAAATATTTTCTTTAACAATTATTACTGCTATTTGCTAAAAACTAATTAGCAGCAAAATCTTTTGTACAATTTTTAAATTAATAAAATCGATGTAGGATTTTTGACTAAAACGTGGACAAAAGTTTTTTCACTTCCAGTTACAAAGAAACGGCTTGGCCGATAATCGCGAAAAACTGATCAACATTAGTTCTTGGACTAGTGTTCGACTTATAGTCCAGTTATTTAAGCTTAAATTAGGTAAGAATTTCGGAATTCGAGATACCCAGCTGTAAGTCTGTAAATACTTGTTTATTGACACCCTAAAGATGTCTCAAAACCTACATATGGTATTGACACCCTACAGACTTACAGCTGGGTATTTCAAGTTTCGAGGTGAACTTTTTATAATGACTAGACTATTAATTCAAATGGCTTTTAAATTTATGACATCGGTTCAGTCGTTTATGAGAAAACGTTAACAATCGTCTCACGTACACAAACACACTTTTTCCAAATATGGTCTCAAACGATTTAGAATTACTTAAAACGTCGAGAAGACAAAATTAACAAGTCGGATTTGTTCGTGAAAACGAACTTCTCCTTCGAGAAATTTATAATAACGAATACCTTTAATAATAATTTCGTATACCTTATCTGTTTTTTTATTGTCACTTTCATTTTCTTCACTTTTTTTCGCCGAGGTTAACTGACTTCTAGTCTTTCTGGCTGCGGTACTTAATTTAGAACTGTCAACTGTATTAGATGTTTCTGATAATCTTTTAACTTTCTTCTTCGGCATCTTGAGAAATACTCAAAAACTATAATAAATAAATTTATGGAAATGGTAATTCTAAATATTGAACATTTTCTTCTCAAACTACCTGTTAACGAATGGTTGTCAGGCGTCCGCGCTATTTTGCAGAGGATACCAACCTATAAAGAGTGGTACCAACTGACAAAATTTGTTTCTGTGTAGTCAGTGATGAAAAACATTTCGTGAGAAGTCCAGAGATAAATAAGCAAACTAGTTGAAAGTGGCATTTAGCCTTAAGGCAAGTTGGCTGAAGTTCTTGAAATGTGTAAGAATTGACTTAGTCAATCGAAATTGAAATTTAGATATTTAGATTAAATTTTCAACTGTTTATTTCAAAAATAAAGTTATCGCTTTCAATTATTGCGATTTCGAATAGAATTTTCTCAATCGCATTTGAATTAACTGTAATTAAATTAATTATATTGCACAAACACGTGCTTATAGATCCTAAAATTGTAGCATATTATTTTCAATTTTAATGAATTGACAATGTTTAACTCATCGCATCACAAAACAAATATAATATTATTAATATACTATAATATTTTTTCAAAGTTTGATGAATTTTTAACATTAAACTATTTGCGGTAGGGTCGTAACATTTTAGTATGTTTTATAAGACCAGGATATGTATTGCCAAAAAAGGTTCATAAAAATCGACATTTTTTTTTAACAGTTAATTTCATGAAAACGGCTCGGTAGATTTTCACCTAAAACTAATCAGTATCATTCCCAACCAATATCTTTCAAACAGTTTTTGATTTTTTTTAAATCGATTTAGAACTGAAAGCTAAAACGTGGTCGAAAATTTTTTCACTTTTCTACTATTTACAAAGAAATGGCTCAGCCGATCGTCGCACAAAACTGAGAGAAGATAATCCACATTGAAATACATCGATTGGCTTTTAAATTTTTGAAATCGGTTCAGTCGTTTTTGAGCAAACGTCGATGAAAGTTCCAATTTTGACAAATGCCAAAAAGACCTTACTAATTTTTGCAAACTTTGACGAATTTTTAAAGCTAATCCAGTTGTCGTAGAGCCGTAATATTTTAGTATGATCTAGAAGACTATGGTATCTACCACCAAACAAAATTCATAAAAATCGTCGAAAGAAAAATTTTTTAACACTGTTACAAGAAAACGGTCCGGCTGATCTTTATGAAAAACGATTCCTAACCAATATCTTTTGAACGGTTTATGAATTTTCAAAATGGATTCAGAATTGCGGGCTAAAACGTGGATAATTTTTTTTTTCACTTTTCTATTTACAATAGTCCGTTCCGGCTTTGCCGATCTTCGCACAAAACTGATTAACGATAGTCCTCATCGAGATACATCGAATGGCTTTTAAATTTTTGAAATCGGTCCAGCCATTTTTAAGAAAACGTCAACGAAAGGTCAAAAATTTGTTCACACAAGCACACGCATGCTTTTTCCAAATTTGGTCTCATTCGATTCAGAATGGCTTGAAACGTCGAGAAAACAAAATTAGCCCATTGGATTTTTTGATGAAAACAAACTTCACCTTCAGGAAGTTAATAATACATAAGTAAATCATAGGTATTATAAGGTCTATGCAGGAGTCTCAAAAATGAATTTTACACATATAATTAAACTATATTCTAAAATGTCATTTGATCTTAAAATATGATGTATTTTTCTCTGACGATGTAAAGTCAAATAATTTTGAAAATGTAAAATCTAACTAACAATAGATATAATCAAATTGTATAAAATTCATTTCTCTTCAAAAACATTATTTAGTTGAAAAACAATAATAATAAATGTGCTTAACATTAACAGCATGAATAAAATAAATTTAATTATCAAAATAATTTATTCATATTTCCTAAATAACAAAAATAGTAAGTAACTTTATTCATCTTCATGATGATTACTTTTACTGTGTTTCCTATGTTTATGAGTTCGACTGCTTCGTGAATGTGATCTAGACTTTTTCTTTGATTTCTTCATTTTGGGAGGGCTTTCATCTGATGCAGAATCTGACCTGTATCAATACAATAGAATATATAATAATGCTGTAGATTACAATTATTTTTTTTATTAAAAAATACCTTTTTCTTGATCGCTTACTACTTTTATGCCTGCGTGATGATTCTTTTTTATCAGAACTATGTTTCCTACTTTTTCTATGTACACTTTCCTTAGGATCTTCAGATTTTAAATGATTTAAAAATTCCATTGCACGTTTTTTACGTTCTAACTGCAGTTTTTTCACATTATTTCCAGATGATTCATCAATCAATCCATTCTCTCGCAAAATTGTCACTATAAAAAATAAAATAGATATATTTATGAATAAGATAGAATATTAAATATGATATTTGTAATACCTTCATCATCACAATTAGGTTTTACAGAGTCATTAGTCAAATCTATACATTCATTTTCAACAGCTTTCATTTCAGAATGAAATTTTTTATCCTGGTTTTCTATACATTGATCCTCTGTTAAATCCCCATTTGTTTCATTTTTTACTAACTCTGGTGTACTTGCATTTGATAATTCAGGGTCAGATGATATCACCATTTCGTCATCTACAATATTCGTTTCTGAACTTGGGCTGTTAACTTTTTCTTCGTCTTTCTTATCATCAATTGATGATATTTTAGTTTCTATACTTTCTCTATTGTTTTCTTGTTTAACTTTAGCAGTATTTGTACATTCTTTAATAGTTTCTACTACATTTGTTTCATTATTTGCGACATAACTGCTACTTTCTATTTTTGAAATATTCTTAGTTTGTTCTTCATCCTCATCACTATCTTCAAGCGGCAACGCTGGCTTGGTAATAATTTGTTCTGGTTCTTTAGGCTTTTTGATCGTAAACGATACTGGAGCTGCTGAATAAATTTTATTTTTACAATATACTCATGCATTTCAAATATATTGGCAAAACTACAAGACTACTTTACCTATAATTTTTGGTTTCTGCTGTTGCTGTTCTTCTGGTGTTTCATCATCTTTCTTTTCAACATCTTCAGAACTATTTTCACAACCGTTATTGATAATCTTTCCCATTGAAATCAGCTGCGCATTTAATTTAGTTTTGTAAAAAGTGTGATATTGATGAGTAGGTGTTAAGAAGTTGAATCGAGGATCCTTTTTGGCTAAAAGATAAAATAAAAATAAAAACATATAAACAATTAACTTGCTATCAGGTTAGCAACTAAAACATTTTTTTCAGAGGTATTTTACATTTGAACTACAACAGCAAACCTAAAAATTCAATTCAATTGAAACCATCTAAAAGTGAAAACTAACCTAAAACAAACACACATTCATTCTCATTCATTACCTTTAACAATTTCCTCAAACTCTTTTCCATTTTTAGCAACATATATAGCCATTTTAACAATGATCAATTTCTCAGCATCGGGTGGAATGGGTACAAGATTTTCTACTTCTATTTCGCTATCACTATTATCACTATCAGTATTATAGTAATGAGCCAAGGCACCAATTTGGAGTTTTGGTTTTGGTGCCTTGACCGGTTCATTTTCAACAACGGGTTCAGCAACACTTGGAACAGCAGCTTTTTCGGTATTTTCTGGGGGATTATCTGGTGGCATCGGTGGATTACTTTGTAAATACATGACTGGAGGTTTCTGAATTGCATTGTTGTAATCCAGTGATAAGGGATCAATGCCATAAGTAGCATAATAATAATGTCTGCAAAATAAATGAATCAACATTAAAATTGAAATAAACAGTAAATTTGTTTATCTATATAGCTGAATCTAAATTTCAGTTGACTAAGTCAACCATTCCATTACACGTATCTGTAGTTCATGCAAATTGCCTTAAGATGAATGTCACTTCCTCCTTTTTTCTTTCATAATTTGAAATAGTTACATTTTTGACTCACCTATAATATTCTTGATACTGTTCACTATTATAATATTGATTCCATTGATTAACATAATCTTCACTACTAGCATTAGTATTAGTGTCATTAGATTCTACTTTTTCAGGTTGTTTATCTAATTCTACATTAACATTGGACTCTTTTTCAGCTTCTGGCGTTGTTTCTGTTGTGTACTGGTGCCTTTAATTTTATTAACTAACATTGAATAAGCACAATCTGCCGATGGTTTGTAGTTTAACGTTGGAATAGAAGGTAAAGCGGGAGCCTAGAAGAAAAACTTTACTATTTAATTGTTCTCTAAAACTTCATTTCGATAAAATATTTTTCAGTCTCTCTTAGTATATAGAAGAGTAGAATATCTACTATAATTAACAGTATAATCTATTCTATAATATAATATCCATCTACTATAATATAATACTATATAATATAATAAGTTACAATACAAAACTATATTTGTATGAAGAAAATATTGCCTTTAAGAACTACTTTATTATTTTAAATTAACTATATAACAGAATACTACAAAAATTCAAATTACACAAAATTGTTACACCATTTGAGAATAAAAAAAAAAACATTTTGCAACAAGTAACAGTTTTTTGAAAAAGATTTTGAATTATAAACATTAAAAATTTTGCTGACATACCGAGTCAACCTTAGATATATTTGAGGCGAGACTGGGGTGAAGGTAATATGAAGCTTCATCTTCAGAATGTTGTGTTGATTCTGAAAAAGAAGAATATAATTTCTAAATAGTTACAACTTGTTTCCATAAAATTTCATTGTTTTGTTACCCTTTTCAGGTTTTTCTGGAGCCTCTGTATATTTATAACGACCAGTTTTGATTGCCATTAAAACATGCCTATAAAATGCAAATAGTTCATTGTCATGATTTAAAAATTCAAACTGTGGGTTGTGTTGCTGTTTTGCTTTCAATAAAATTTCCATTTGACCGCCTTGTTGAGCAATAAAATTTGCTGTTCTTTCAAGAATAATAGCTAATTTTTTGTTAGGAGGCTGGAAAAAATATGAAGTATTAGAATTAATTTATAAGCAATGTTAATTATGGTCCTATTCTCGGATGCACATTTATGCCGAAGTTATACTTATGTTGTTATTAGTGTAACAGCCAATAATTATAAATATTATGATGTAATTATTATAATAAACTAGTTGTGACGTTTTACCTTGAGGCGAGTTGTATGAACCAACATGTATAAATAATTGACTTAATGAGAAA